CACGAGATCCCTCCAAATTTTGTTCGAAATTTTCATGTGGTACAAAATTTAATTCAATCTTCCCTTTCTTATGTAATTTTGGAGATGCAACATCTTCTCATAATTATAGATTTGTCGATTCCATGCTTAAAACCACAAGTGAGGTATGTTCATTGTTTATCTTTTTTTCATTAATGGCATTTGAGACTTCATTTTTCTCTTATTAATTGTAAACATATGTCCTATTTTAAGTTTTAACGATATTTTCTTGTTTTGAATCTTTAGAGATGTTTATTCTTCCATGATATATCTCCAAGAAAGGATGTAAAGACTTATGATGTTGCTTCAATGACTTTCAATCAATGGTTATGGAGCTACTTTTTGTAAAGTCACTTTTAAGATGTTGTTGAAAAAGAATTGAAAACAATGTCGATTAAATGTGATTTCCCTAGAACAAATTTTTTATTGGTAGAGAAAAAGAATTCGTTGAAATGGAAACCACTCTTTTTGGAAAAACTAAAATTATAAAAGGAACAATTGGAACCTTTAATGGACCTGCAGTTGATGAAATAATAGGTAGAAAGTTCAAAAACTAGATTAAGATATTACGATTCAACCATTGATTGAAAAACAGGCACCGAACATACCTAAATACAAGAAAACGAAACTTCATAAGTAGCGTGGTGTGCTTCAATGGAGAACCTGTTAATTGGTGTTGTTTTAGCTAACTATTTTTAGGCAGTTTTGACTATTTTTTGGTGCGATTTTAGCTATTTTTTGTGTAGTTATGGTACGACACCATTAAATAAGGGTATTTTTTATTCGATATTTTTTGGTGCGGTTCAATACTCGCATCAATTAATCATTTTAACCGCATCAACAAATGTTTTATGTACTAGTGTTAAATAGATAAAGAACGATAGCAAAATAAAATATAAATACATAAGAATATTGCAATAATTTTACTTTTCAGAGGGACTAAATCCACATAAAAACATGGCAAAAAAAAAAAAAAACAAAAAACAAAAAAAATATTTTGACGAAAACCCAGAAAAATACACACATAGATCATTTTTGCAGTTTTGTCAAAATGATATCTTTGTTTTATTTGAAAATAAAATAAAATATACAATTATAATTGTAAATAAATTTAAAAATACTCTATAATGGTAAATACTTTTCTTATATGCTACCTTTTAGTAAAAAAAACGCATGTAAATTTAGGTTTTTATATAAAGAAACATGCAAACTTATAATAAAATAAGCATAATAAATCTAAATTTTTTATCTTCAAATCCAAAAAAATCTGAAAAAGAAAGTACATTGCTAGATCCAGAAGAAGTCTTGTGAGCTAAGAGAAAAAGGGTAAATGATTTAGCAAGGTAATTAATTTTTCAGTAAGTTCACATCTGAATAACTATTTTTTTGTACACATCTAGATAACAAACTTGTTGGAAGTGTTCACATATGACTATTATGACCGGCTGTAGCAAGTTATATCCTAGATGTGAACACTTTCAACAAGTTCGTTACCTAGATATGTACAAAAAAATAGTTACCCAAATATGAACAAAACGAAAAGTGATAGTAAATTACACGAATGGTCCCTATGGTTTCGGAGAATTTGTATTTTTGGTCCCTAACGTTTTTTAACTCGGATGGTCCCTACTGTTTATTTTTGTAGCACGTTTGGTCCATATCTTACCAAAAAAAGACTATTGTGCCTTATTAATTTATTTTTTAATTAATTTTTCATATTTATCTATTTACTTTTTTATATATTTAAAAAAATTAATAGATCTCAAGTATTTGTATCTCGTCACTCACTAAAGATGAAGTGACAATGTATATTATAGGGATGTTCCGATCCGCAAGGACCATGATTGAGAACTGTTTGATCGTCTTTCTCTGAGGAAGAGACAAAAAAGAATCAATTTGAATTCGGGACCACTCTTCGAAATTTTAGTGAAACATTGGATTTTTTTTTTATCTAATGTCTACTTTTTGTGTAAAAAATACCAATTGAAGTGGAAGTTTTTTTCAAACAACAAGGGGTTGGTTAACTATTGAGCACTAAAGATGATGAGATACAAATATGTGAGGTTTATTACTGTTTTTTAAATATATAAAAAATAAATATATAAATAAAAAAATTAATTAAAAAATAAATTAATAAGGACACAATAGGGACCATCGGAATTTAAAAAAAATAAGTTAGCAACCAAAAAAAATAAATTCCCCCAAAACCACAGGGACCATTCGTATAATTTACTCGTACTTTCGTTTTGTTCATATTTGGGTAACTATTTTTTTTTTTGTATATATCTAAGTAACGAATTTGTTGAAAATGTTTACATCTAGGATGTAACCTGCTACAGACAATAATAATGATCATATGTGAATACTTCCAACAAGTTTGTTACCTAGATGTGTGTAAAAAAATAATTACTTAAATATGAACTTATGAAAAGTTAATTACCTTTCCAAATCATTATCCTAGAGAAAAAAAGACCTAGAAAGTATTTGGCATTATGTGTATGTATATATTTTTTAAGTTAATCACTATAAATCTAACAAATTATATACACAATTATTAATTTATCTTTGAGATAAGTAGATAACTAATATTAAGAGCTATAATGGCGATATGGCATCCATCCAATAAAATTCATACAAATTTGGTTGCGAAATAATGAATTACGGTAAAACAAAAACAACAATGAGCAAAAGATATGGGGCGTGTTTGGCATGGAGCTTTTGGAAGCGTTTGGGAGCTTCTAGCTTTTAGCTTTTGACAAAACGCTCTAGTTTAAACAAAAAGCTTCGTTTGGCAGTACGAGCGTTTAGCTTTTAGTTTTAACAAAACGCTCCGATTCTAAAAGCTACTTCATGTAGCTTTTAACAAAACGCTCCGGAGCTTTTGAAATCAATTTCCATAATTACACTTAAAAATATATTTATATATATTTTTTATTTTTAATAAATTGTCCTTTTATGTAATTTTATATATTTCAAAAGCTTCCAGCTACTTTTGCCAAACATTCATATAACAAATAAAAGCTACAGCTTCCCGCTACCAGCTACCAGCTACCCGCTACCAGCTAACCGCTACCCGCTTCCAGCTAACAGCTACTTTTGCCAAACACGCCCATGGAGAGAGAAAAGAAGATGGAAAAGGAAAATGAAACAATTTGAAGTCCTGTTAATTTTCTTCTGAACCTGGTCCAACACACACAAATCGAATCACAAATCCCTGATACTCAACTTTCACACAATAATTCATTAAATTCTTCAAATCAGACATATTTTACTAACAGTTTAATAACTGTCTACAGATACTTGGCAAATTTTAAACTTATCTTCAAATAAAATTAAAGAAAATCTGAAGATCGAGAAACATTAGGGCTTGACCCTCATTTGAAATCACATGTTTCTCGTGAGAAGGTCAATATTTAAATTTCAACAGGAATCAACCAATCTTCTTGGAGTGGCCGTGTCTCATTTTCGGCGACTTTTTCTTTTGTTTAGTTAGAAAGAAGTAAAAATACAACATGACCCCCTACACTATAACTTTACTATAATTAACCCCTCATAGTTCTCACTAATCACAAGTTTAGTCCTATAAACTGCTTCTTAATAAAAAGTGCCAATAAAAGAACTATCTTATTATTGTGTTAGCATTTTATCTTCTAATTTGGTCAAACAACTTCAAAAATAATTATTTGTGTTTATTGCAATGCATTTTTTTGGCAAGACCATTAAATTACCATATAATCCAGGTTTTTTTTTTCTAAAAGAAAACACATTTGATATAGTTTATTAATAAATTAATGGAACTTTTTACCTAATTTTTCCAAATTACCCATATGCTCATTCTACTATATATATTTATCCCAAGTTTTATTTTTCATTTAATTTATCACTTGTCAGCGAACTTATAATGTACAAACTATATTTCAACTAAAATTTAGTTTTTAAGCTAATATGTCAAACACAAGGTTAAGCAGGTAACGAGTGAAGTGGAAAAGGTAATCAAATCAAATGGTTTGATTGGTGTACTAACCAGTTTCGGGTATGTTTGTATCTTTCATCTAGCCATTAGCTAGCTTAATTTCTCTAATAAAAACTTTTTCGTTGTTAAAAAATGTCAAACATAACATTTGTCAGCATTTTATATATTTTGTTAGTTTATCTTTACTACTTATAAAAGAAATCTAATTATTTCTATAAATAGATTGAATATAATAATATTATTTTTTTTAAGACGTTCAAACTATTAAGTTTGAAATACAACCCATTTATAATATAATAATATTAAAACTTTAACCCTACCCTTTATCCCCTAAAAATCTCGTATCAAATTAATAGAAGAATTCATTTGCAAATTGAATCCGTCAATCTTAACACTTCAGCCATTTGAAGCGGTCAATGTCAACAATTTATAGATGATTTCTTCTCTCATATTGGTAACAAGCCATCTCATAATATCTATCTTCGTAATCTCTTCAAAGTAAGAAATATACGTACACTATTTCGAAGAACCCTAACCAGTAACCAAGACAGTATAACCATCACCACCACAGCCGCTCTGCCTCCTTCCGCCTTCAACCAACCACTATCACGACTACCGCCATTCCTTTCACCCACGACATGAACTTTCTTTTGGAACATAATATTTTTCTTTAAAAAAATATCGTTGAAAGAAGCTATTTGTCTCCGCCGCTGTGCACGGGTAACGACTAGTTATACAAAAGCTAAACTTAAAAAATTAGTTTTTAAGCTATTCAGTCAAAGATAAAAAGTATTATTGGCTTAGTTATGATTTTAGAAGTTCAGTGAGCAAATGATAATTAAGTAATTAACCAAAAGTAATTTACCTTTTAAAAAATAATTAGTTTTATACTCAAAATTTTAAACTTTTTAGAGGATATGAACAACTGTGCAATCCGTATTTATAGGTTGTTATCTTGTTATTAAAAGGATAAATTAATGGATAATTTGTAAATTTAAACTTAGTCATACTACTATTTTTGGGAGACTAAGAAGTTATCCGATTAAAGTAGAACTAGATAGGCGCTTATAAATACATATTTCATTTCCATGCTGTGGTGAATTCATACATCATAATCATTCTCATCTTTTCTGAATCTTCTTCGTTTGGATTTCAAATATGGTGATGAGTAATGAGAGGATACGGACGATTGTTGGACTCATTGGTATGTTTTCTTCGAATCTCTATAATTATTATTATTATTATTTTTTTTCTAATTAACTGCTCGGTTGGTGATTTCATGGTGGATCGATTAATCGTTCCTATATATACATTATATGTATTTAGAACATTTTGATCATATAGATTTAGATTTTATGACTGTTGTTTCTTAAAATGCATATGTTTATGTACGTAATTGGTCAGAGTTTCAGAAGAATTGTTCTGAAACCCGACATTAAAAAGGTATGTATTGAGATTTCCTTCACTTTTGACGTTTACATTTGTTTAAATAACGGGAAATAGTTTGTGAAATTCATATTATTTCATAACCTTTTTACGTTTTAGTGATTACATGCAGATGTGAATATGAATCGTGAATGTATTAGTTATTAGTCGATAAATTACTTGCTATGAATTTGTAGTATAATTATTTGTTGACGCATGAAATGAAATTTAATTTCTTTTATTGTTTCTTCCGTTTTATCAATCGGTTATATCTGGACGATCAACTTCCGTTGTTACTATATGATTCGTCTGTTCAACTTGCGATTTCAAATTTACATTGTTGTTTCTTCTCTTTGCTATATTTCAATAATCATTACTAATTCGTGTTCATAACTTTAGGGAATGTCATCTCTTTCGGCCTGTTTATCTCTCCCTCGTAAGTTCATTTATATAAATCCAACTTGTTGTTTATTCTATATATCAATGCGATAACAACATATATATATATATATATATATATATATATATATATATATATATATATATATATATATATATATATATATATATATATATATGTAATCAAACTGAAAAATCACACACAGGCCTACGATATGGAGAATCTTTAAGAACAAAACAGTAGAAGAATTCTCACCAGACCCTTACATAGCTTGTGTAATGAACTGTTTGCTATGGATCTTCTATGGCTTACCTATCAATCATCCAGATAGCACTCTTGTAATCACCATTAACGCTACTGGTTTAGTGTTGGAGCTCATCTATCTAAGCTCATTCATCATTTATGGTAAAAGTGCACATAGGGTACGTACTTCACTACTTCATTACTTCTTTCTAATTTTCATATCAAAATTAATAAGATCTAAACTTTCTTAATCTTCCCCTACAGAAAAAGATCTTTAGCTGGTTAGCTGCGGAGCTTGTTGTTCTTGGTGCAATTGCAGGTTTTGATTTGGGATTCTTTCATACTCATGATAAGAGATCAACCTTCGTTGGGATTTTTTGTGTGGTGTTTGGTATCCTTATGTACACTTCCCCTCTAACTATCATGGTATGTTTTCATTTCTCTTTTGCATAAAATAGTAATTCAACCTTTTTGATTGATTTCATTTATTTTGAAAAACCAACAGTGGAAAGTAATAACAACAAAGAGTGTCGAATACATGCCTTTCTATCTTTCATTAGCTGCGTTCTTGAACGGTTGTTGCTGGACGACTTATGCTCTTCTCAAATGGGATTGGTTCATTCTGGTAATTAATGAATCTGTTAAATGTTTTTAATTAATGTTCTTCATCCAATAAGTTAAAAACTAATTAAATCTTAAATGCTAAATTTTGTATTTTGAAATTACAGATTGCGAATGGTACTGGGGCTCTTTCTGGGTTTGCACAACTTATTTTATATGCATGTTTCTACCGAACAACTCCGAAGAAGAATAGCAAAAGGCCGGAGTCTGAAGTACAAATGGCTTGAAATGAGGACCTTTCGTACCCTTTTGATATAATGTGAATTCAGATTTGGATTTGTAGATTTTTGAAGGTACGTATGAGGGATTTTTGTTTAATAGTTTGTTTAATTAGGTTTTTGAGATTCTCTTTGAGTTTTTGGTCAAATTTGAATTTACTTTGATCACTTGCTTCGTTTTTTTGTTTGTTGATAATTTTTTTTTTTCTTCCATTATAAAGTTAATTAAATGGATAACTTTTTATGGAAAATCATCACATATAAATTCTAATCTACTTTTTAAACTATTCATTAATTTAACCTATATAAACTTCAATCTAAAATAAATAAGGGATCTCACCATATCGTCACCACTAGAAAATGAGAGAGGTTTGTCTAAAATCGTTCATGGGTAATTATTTATGAGATTTCCGTCTCACTTTTCCATTGAAAATACGGATGACCGACTCAAATAAATTCGCTTTGACCACTTTTACAATGGATTGTTTTGCTACAGATTTTCGACGGACTATTTTAGTTTTTAGTGAGATGATATTTCTATCACTAATACATCATTAAAATGATTTTTTTTAAGTAAACAAATCATGCTAGAAACATGTGTTTGATCACTAATGAATCAATGATAATTTTACGTTCATTTATGTATCTAAGTCATTGGTCATGGTTAGGTTTGCAAACGATGCCTCCAATTATGTCTATTTTGATTTTCAAGGAGCTTTGAATTCTCAAACCCCAGATCCTTGATGAAATCTATGATGTTTTGTTTCATGTATGATGCTAGAAACAGATGGTTAATCACCATTGAATCATTACTTCATCCTAGAAGTTTTAGATTCCATCTCCATGGATGAAATGGTCATTTAAATCCCTAAACTCATGTCTAGTGTTGTACTTAAGCTTCATTAAGATGTACATCTTCATGGAACATGTTATAAATGTAAATCTAGAGTGTCAATGTTAGTGGATTATTCATATTTAACTCTAGTCGTTATTCCGCGGTGTCCCTTTGAAAATGTATTTGGAATTGGCAATTACAATGGTGGAAACACCATTAAATGGAATGAAGAGTTTTTTGGAAATAAGGTTCGACTATTAAACCAATAGAATGATTTTGAAAATGAAATGTGAAAGGTTATCTAGAATGATTTGAGTGAGATAAACTAAGCTTTATAAAAACATTATTACAATTTCGTTGATGAAAATCAGAATCAACACAATGATTTTTTGGTTTATATAACATAACTTAGATGTTTATTTAAGATTATTGTTTTGGAATATGAACGGATGAAATAAGATATAATTTAGACTAATATAATGGGTTATTGACATAAAAACCATTAAGTCTCAAAAAAGTCGGTTTTAACTTAAGTCCTATTTTATATTTACTAATCCCTAAATATTTGTAACGTTTCTCTCTCTCACACACACGTTATATATATATATATATATATATATATATATATATATAAAAGGTCAAGCTGGTTGCCATTACATTACAATGAAGAAAACTTTAAACTTTTCAAATTTTATTTTACAACTTTAGCCTCCAACTTGCTAGGGTTGGGATGTGAGCCATTAAAGGCACGAGACTTTTAGTTAATTTCAAAAATAGCAATATACTTCTAGGGTTCTTAATATTCGATAGTTGTTTGCAAATCATAGTAAAAACATAGATCCTTTAGGGTGAATTTGAACTTAGGTTTTATGTTTTTCTACCAAAAAATAGACTTTTTGTAACATATAACACTCATCAGTGGTATCAGAGTCATTGTTCTCATTGATCTTATACAAAGCTGAATAGATCAAAATTAGGGTTTATAAAAACTAAACCCTAAGGAGGCAAATTTTGAAATCTCCATAGGTTTCTTGAAATCCTAGCCTCCACCTTAGTATTTTCGAAATTTGCAAGGGTTTTAGAAACCATTGTAGTTAATAAACAATGATTCCTTCTTGATCTAGCTTTAGAAAGCAAGCACTAAAAGTCTCGTGCCTCTAGTAACTTACACCCAAACCATAGCAAGTTGGAGGCTAAAGAGGAGAAATGAGAGTAGGAAGGATTTTCATTTCTACCTCTCGTAGAAGGGATGAACAAAATTGTGAACCCTTAGGAAGGTTTATATAGGTGATAGAGTGGCTATAGATAATGTAATTTCTTTGGATAAGTCTTATCCCTTTTGCTTTTCTCCTAAGGCATCCAAGTTTCCTTAGAGCCCAAGAAAAGCTCTACAAACCCTCTAGAAACGCTATAACCATCTAGAATTTCGTCCCCTCTCCTAGGAAGTTTCTAGAATTGGTCAATGTTCAACTTCTGAACATTGTCACCTTTAGTCCTTCCATTTTTAATTAACCCAACTAATTTCAAAATTAATTCTATTTAATTTCTGATTAATTCTTAGTTAAATAATATTATTTCTAGTTAATATATTAATCTCATAATATAGTAATAAATTATTTATTTTGATTTCTAATTAATTTATTAACTGTATAATAAATTAATAATTTAGTCTCTTTCTCCAAAAAAAAAAAAACATATCAGTCAATTGGTTTAAGGACAACTCAAAGGACATTGCTAATAATCCAAGATAATATTAATTTAGTTATTGTCTTGGACACCTAATCCAAAATTTTCTCTTTGTTCAAGTATTTTATATAAATTATAAAAGTATTCCATTGCAAAATCTCTTGATTTTATGATTTTAGTAAATCTCGACTTGAACAAAAACCCAACAAGTGGTATCGTGTTGTATGAAAAGTTCATTCAAGGCTTCTTTGGCAACATGTAATGGTAGTTTTAAGCAATATTCTAAATGGTGTGAGGCGTGGCGTGGCGACAAGGCCAAGCCTCAAGCTTAACGAGTCATGGCGACCCACAACCTTTTTCAAGGCATGATGTAAGGCGGTGGTTTTGTATTAATTTATAGTTATATTACCATATAAATATAAATTTATATTAAATATAACTATTTTTTAGAAGTATTATATCAATACCAAATAACAAAAAGTTAACAAAAAACACAATACTTGTATCACCGATTAGAAAAGACAAAAAAAAATAGCAAAAAAATGTGTCTCAAATGAAAAAACACGCGCCATAACACGCCATAATGCATCATGACATGTCTTGCCTCGCACGACGCCTAACACCAACGTTATGAAGCTTTTCGTAACGACGAAGACACGCCTCACGCCATGGTGCGCGCCATGGGACGCCTTTTAGAACACTGGTTTTAAGAGAGAATATGTGATCAAAGTTTTTTTTGGAAACTTAAATTCATTTGATCACATGAATGTTGCCTTAGAAAAATAAATATTATTTGATAATTTTCATATGATTTTATGTGCATAAACAATCCATGGACCTTGTGTAAATATTAGATTAGTTTGTAATATAGTATAAGTATAGTAAATCTTTTGGAAATATTAAATTAGTTTGTAGTCTAGTATAAGTACCTTAAAATGTAATAAGAAATGAAGATGAAGCAATTTTTAAGATCGAAAAGTGTTAGAATTTATTAATCTTAATAGCAGTGGAAAATGCAACCTTTTCTGTAAAGTGTTGCACCGTATTTTGTGAAGCTGAAGCAATATCTCCAAACATAACCTTTCTGTGAAGTGTTTCATGTTGTTGGAATGATATATAATTAATAGAGTATTCAACATCTTTCATGCATTATATGTGTTCATAATTGGGAGATTCAACAACAACATTTCTTGAGGATTTTGGTCCTTATTTCCCTTTAGGAAATAGACTTGATATTTCATGTGTACCTCATATGAAATATCACATAGTTATGGTTTGGTTTATGCATTCATGTTTGTGTGTGATGATTGTATACTGTCATTTTGTTTGTATGGATGAAAAATGAGATTTTGCCTACTAAACAACCAAATAACTACACACATATCATCATGGAGTTTTTTCTTTTCAAAACAATAATTTTTTATACATAAGATGCTAAAATCGGATTTTTAAATAAAAAGGAGATTTATTTTAGAATATTAAATTTTTGAAAATAAGCAATATTTGTTAAAATATGTATTTTAAAACTCATGATAAACTCCAAGTCTAAAATAATAAAATGTTATTAAAACACTAATATTAGTTCTAAACACACAAACTCAAAAGTTAATACAAGATATTGACAGTTGAACTAAGATGAACAAATAAAAGAAAATATGATTTTTATAAAATGTACCATGTATTATTAGATACATGCAATATACATGATACAACACATTTTTAAAAGTAGAATTCTAAAACATATAAACCCTTTAAAACGTAAGTCCATGTCTTCCTCTTAAAAGACATTCACTCGTTACTTGTATGGTGATTGTGGGATAAAGGTCAGCTAACCATTAGTATGTGCTTATTCTACATGCCTTTTAAGATGGATTACTTGATCTGGAATCTTTTGTGATAAAGGTCATCTAAGCATTCAAAACCTGAGGCATATATGAGATCAAACATGCCAATTAACAAAAGGTTGTTAAGGATCCCATATGACTAGGAATTACATTTGAATGTAATTGGTAATCACTACTTACTTTGTTGAAATAAATAACAAGATAAAGATCACCTAACGAATTATTTGATTTGCAACATTAGATCCTAGACTCTAATTAATTAATGTTTAAGGAAACAAAAAGTTATTAATTATTAAATATTTAAAACATCAAAAATTCTAAATAAATTTTGTTAAAATTTAGTAGATGAGAACTCAATCGAATCTCATAACTAGGCATCATCTTAATATTGTTAATCAACGCGAAACAATAACATTCGATGGGTACCATATTATCCAATGGATTCGTGTCTTGAGAGACAATCTCAAGAGAGGTAATAAATTGTACATTCTATAAGGTCTTATTCCTAAACAACCTATAATTACCAGTAGAACTGAACACAATGTTTGGTGGAAACATTGTTTTGATGCTCAAGATGTTTTTAAAAATGATACTAGGTACAGTTATTGCTGACCTTTGGAGGGAACTGGAAGGCTTGGAAACATTTCATATGTTTCGTCAGGTTGAGCATATATTCCGTAAAATACATTGATTTTTTAGTTTGAACCAATTCATACATAGGAAAACTACAAAGATGAAGAGAGTCACCATGTGTGCTCTAAGAGGCCCTTAGTTCATGGAAAAGATAAGGCCGAAGAAACCCAAGAAGGCCTACATATATGGATTATGTTTCTTCGATAGAGAAACAGGACACTGGAAGAGGAACTATCCCTCTTATCTGAAAATAAAGTCTAGAGAGACTAGTACTTTAGGTATGTAATAGATAGAACTTATAAAATTTCATTTAGCACTCAAGTGTTTTGGTACGTAGTGTTAATCTAATATTTTTAAATGGATTTCAGATATTTCAAGAAGAGTAGCCAACTAAGCATAAGCAAGTTGGAACTACACTCTTGGAGTTTAGTTTATTATTTATGCTTAGAACATGAAGTAATTGGTAATCGTGTAGTAAACCAATATTTTTTTGGAACAATATATCTTTTAAATTTAGCATGCCTATATATATATATATATATATATATATATATATATATATATATATATATATATGTCTCAGTTAGACTTTTAGACTTATATATATATATATATATATATATATATATATATATATATATATATATATATATGTCTCAGTTAATGTCACAACTGAGAAATTTTAGACTTAGCAAAGTCCAAACCCTAACCAAGTACTAGTGA